TTGGGATTTTGACTCACCTTGAATAGAGGGTCCATCTGAATTGAATCCCGAATGAGATTATTTGTATCACATCATGTTGACAAGTTAACGATAACTCATTGTTTAATTGGCTCCACTAGTTTCTTGCTGTTAAAATTTCGTTACCCATTGTATTCAAGAACAAATGTATAAAGGTATAAGGACAAGATCTCTCAAGATGAATTGTTCCATCATACCTAAAATAATTAACATGTCTACATGGATCTTTGTTTTTAAACGTACCTTCTAAGAAATTATGGCTTTGATTAAACAAATCTTATTTATGGGATATTTATGTTTTTGAGGTTATCATGTTCTGGATCTCGTTCTTTTGGCATTATTTTCTATGGTATTTTACATTAATTCTAGGCTTGGGTTTGAATCATTTGCAAGATCGTATGTCATTAGTACCATGATGTGTGTGATTATAGGTTCAAAATTTGCATATCATGGATTAATCTTCTATATAATAATAATATTGTTCTCCTGTGAAATTATGTTGACTCTATCATATATTCTTGTGTTTCCCATTTGGATTTTTATCCTTGTTCTCTATGCTTTTGTGAGAAATTCTCTGGTTATTGTCGCCATATCCATAGTGTTTCGATGCAAGATTATCGTTACTGGTATTGTGTCAGACCTATTTTTCGATTAGTTGTTACAAGATTGTTCGAATCTAAATGGATGTTGTGTGTTTCTATGCCCGTAGATTACTCTGCTGGCAACCCAAAGTTTTTTGTGAGTCTATATGGTGGCGTATAGGTTTCAAACCCTATGATGCGGTGAAGCTGTGTAGTTTTGAGATTCTAGGAAGCAATTTATTTATGTTTCATTGTAGCACCCTAATCCTATCCAACCGAAAATCTAGAGGATTATAATATTACACAGAACCACTTAAGTGGCTAACCATTTTTTCTTTTGAAATCATTCAGACGCACACACACACACATATATATACAAAATATGGGGAGCTCCAAAATACATAAGTTAAAAATAGAGTTTACGACTTGCTATTACACAAGGGTCTATGACAGTACATGCCCATTATCATGCTCTATATGTACTCTAATAAGAGTTCAAGTCTAGAAATCCTTAAATTCAGTGACAAGCTCCTCAAATTTGCACCTAAGGACCTATACAGGAAAACACATTCCATACAGTGAGCGCACAAGCTCATTTCCACACAAATAACCATATTATACTACATGCATTCGACATATGAGCATACGACCAGTATAGTCATGAACATTTGAATATATTCATCTACACAATAATAAAAGTAAGTATCATGGTGTAGCTTGGGGTCACTTAGCATCACGAAACTAACACCCCTATTTGCTTATTATAAGAACCATATGCAAGATCTGGGTCACACAACATAAGCATCAGCATCTCCTGATTACCTCGGGCTAGGTTCGATCACACAGCATTGGTACCTTGTCGAGCTAGTCCACTCCTCTAGAGAACTTAGCACGTGTTCAAGTCACACAAAATCGACACAATGTCCAACTAGCATTTAAGTTCTAAAGCATTAAATTGGATATACTTGGATAATCCTTATTATACCAAACAATCATTATACAAAGTGACTCGGGTGTCCTTGTCATTTCCTGAGTATCAAACAAGGACATAAGGCATATGGAATGTTACATAATTAAGATATTCTGTTATTGTACAATTATTAAGGTTCTCACTTATAAGTTTATTAGAGAAGTCCCAATGACTCTTAATTTCCTTTTCAAGCTCTTAAAATTAAATTGGGTTTATTAGTATCGATACTGACCCTTGAGCACCAATACCCACCATTAGTATCAATACCAAAAATGGCTACAAAAATCTAAGAGGACTGGGTAATATCAGTACTTATAGCTAGAGTATCGATAGTCTTTTATTGTGGTATCGATATTATCCGAGTATCAATGCCAAATTTTGCTTTGATGTTTTGAAAATTATCATAGTATTGATACCCTTACAGAGACTATTGATACTCTATCCTCAGTATCGATACCCCATGAGTATTGATATAAAAATTGGCTACTAAAATCTAAATTACTATGCTAGTATCGATACTATGTCCTGAATATCGATACTCATTGAACGGTATTGATACCACATGAACGAGTATTGATATTTCCATCCCAAAACACCCTTTGTTTTAGGCTACACGAAGAACATTATTAATATTGTTAATCTAGTATCGATACTTGAGCCTAGAAAACTCAGTTTTTACTCGTGTATAACCTCTCAAATCACTCCTAAGGCATCCCCAAGACACCCTAATAGTTTTTAAGCCTTATGCAGAGTTAAAGGGTCATGAAAGGTTATTAATTTATGCATTAACAACACAAAAACCCCATCTACATGTTATGAACTCAAATGCAGCCCAAATGCCTCATGCACTCATACAAGTATCAATACTACACATGTTGATATACCTTTCAGTCGATTGAGGACCCACGGTTTGACAACTTCCAACTTAGATTCTTGAATAAAGACGACTCTAACTTTACTACCCAAGATACACTTACTGACAACACGGACCTTCTCCGCGCTCTTGAACCCTCTCACGTTCCAAGAAAATAGCGACAGATTCATAAAGCAAATTTATAAAAACACTCGCGAAAGATACCCATAGGTAACGTACTTGAACGATCAATTCTTCTCCCCTTACTCGAGCTCCCTAAGTCTTTCCAGAACATCTGATTTTGGGGCATTAAATGTTATCCCCACCTTCCTTCCCACTTTATAAGCTGCCGAAGCTTCATCTTGAGGGAATGAAACGCCATGCATTGACCAGAAACGAAATCAGGAGAACTGGCCATGCTCTTTCCATGTTTGCTCGCACTCCCGTCTGTTCGTGGCTTCTTCCTCTTAGCATTGGTCTTCTTTTTCCCTTTAAAATTTTTGCTACCAAGAGCCTGATTTTCGTTTAGCACAGCCTGATTACCATACTCGAGGTTCCCAATCATGAATATTCTCTTGATCGAGACACCATGCACGTTGAGATTTGGGCTAAACTCCGAAAACGGGTTCTGTTGACAAAATAACATAATTAATTGGGATATCGAGTAATCCCAGAGTGCTTGGGCTCGCTTGATTCAAATCCTCTTGCCCCCACGGGCATTTGAAATGGACCCGCCCACCACTGCCTCTTCAAACAAAGATAACCCAACACAAAATGTAATAGGGACCTCCAGCAAACCCTAGAGGGATGATTCATCAAATGCCACGTGATTATTATTTATGTTGGGAACCGCCTGGATTTCACATTGGCTACTTGGAACGGTTTGGCTGAGATTTTCAGAGTATGCCAGATTTCCTTCATTAATTGCTCAATCATTACTAAACCCCCACCGATCTGGAATATTATTTGGCACTTCATCATTATCGAAAAAACACTCCTCTAAGATTCAAAGCACGCCCGACCCATCAGTATGAAAAGTCGAGTTTTACTATTTGCGCGCTTTTTCTCCCGGTGAACGCCCCAGTTCGATTCTTCATCTCCTAGAAGGACCAAAGATAACTCTTCAACTCCAACTCCAACATTAATTGTCAATTTTTTATTAGTATAAATATTAAATTGATTTATTTAATAATATAGAGTTTGACATATATTTTCACCCTTAGTAATCCATTGAAAGAACTACTCTATTTGATGAAAATGATTTGTGTATGGTATATATTATCATGTCAAAGGCATGATGGATTTTTATTTCTTTGCATACGATGATGAATCCAGCACGTGCCAAGTTAAGAGTTATTGTCATAGTCTATATTATATGAATATGGAGGGAGTTTAGAGAGAAGTTTAATTTTGCACATGTTTAAATCCGAGGGTCCCACTTACCAACACTCCCCCCTCGTACACTGAAAATTGTTCGATTCTTTGAGTTTTAAAGTTCCTTAACACACCAAACTATCCACGTCGGGAAACGAACCGTTCAGGCGTTCTTAACATTTTTGTTGGGCCCCACCCATCTACTCGTTTTAATATTTGCGCGCCTTTTCAGTGTTGAATTCCTTCAACATGCGAATAATAAGGTCAATCATGCACATGATTAAATAGCTTTCAAGTTGGTACCAATATATATATTATCCACAATAAGTTTGTCTATTAAGATGGTAATTTAAATTTTTAAGATAATATTTCAAGTGTAAATCATAATATTATGAATAGAATTAAGTTGAAAAAGATAAATTCAACTATAAATTTATGTAATATTTGATATGAATTAATCAATTACTAAGTTGAATATCATAATTTTTTAACTCAAAAGACTGAATGTAACTATTATTAAACGACAGTTTACGACCAAGACAGCTGCCAAAATTATAATGTTGAAGTTTAGAGTTAGTGTTTAGGGTATAGTATCATTCAAACATGTCAAATAGCATCAAATAAAAATATTTTGTGGCGTCCAAAGCTTACACAATATATGCATCAAAGTATATTTATATTAATATTCGAATATATGATATCTTAATCTATTTTGTTTCTCATGATACATGTAAATTTTTAATCAAATCAAATATAAAAAAGTAAATTAGTCAATTTGATTTTAAATGTAGACAACAATATTTGGATAATTTCGGTACAACATAAATAAACAATAATAACCTAACTCTTACAAAAGAGTTTCACAATACCTTATTATAGCGACGAATCTACAATATAAATTCATGCACAGAAGAAGTACGTAGTATGCAGACAACGAGAAGTTACATATTAATTTTACACTAATATTTTATCAGCCTAAAAGGATATTTCATCGATCATCTTCTTCGTGGAAACTCGAATCTTTGGTTTGGTCCAAAAAAATAACGAAGAAGAGACGGATGCTGGAATTTCTAACTTCTGAAAAAGACAGCAGGATCTGTCAAAAAAAGACAGCAGATTTAAGTTGCTAGAAGCATTAATGAAAACAAGGAGAAAAAAATGAAGTTTCAGGCTTCTCTTACATTACAGTAGATTCAAACATAGTTCAAGACCTATTAGGGTTTCTGGTAGTGGTAGCAGAATCCCAGGAATTGTTGTTGCCATCCACATCGAAATCCGTCATCTTCATCCATTGTTGAATCTCATCTTCGCCTATTCTATCCCAAAACTCAGTCCCCATGCTCGCATTTATCTGATCGGACAAAACTATACTTGTTGCTGCGGTGGTCGCCGCGGCGGCGGATGGTGTTGTTGCATTCTCAATGCTGGTGCTGTCGGGGAATGGGAAGTTAAGTTTAGCTCTGGGTCCACGGAAATCGATGGCGGCTTTATCGTAAGCACGGGCAGCTTCCTCCTCTGTATTGAAGGTTCCGAGCCAGACCCGGACGGCGCGACGCGGGTCTCGTATCTCTGCAGCCCATTTTCCCCACGGCCTTTGTCGAACTCCCCTGTAGTTTTTCTTCACTCTTTTAGTTCTAGTCGTAGAAGACGTGGCTGCTCCGCCCTTTTTGTCTTCCTGCTGAATTGGCGGGAAAAGGTTGCAGCCTAAACAGTCGTCAAATTTGCACACTTGGCACTTATCCATAACTTCACTCTGTAAAATTTTCACTTGTGAGATGAAATTACAAATTTTGCCTTAATTATTTAATTTTAATTTGAGGGGAAGACAGTTTTGCAAAGTGGTCCGTTAGCATTCATATTGACAGCGAAGACACGGCTAGAAGTTTTGGGAAATCCTAAGAGACAAAAACCAACCGTCAAAACCCGAAAACGACCGGACATGGTCACAACACAGCCCTTTTGACAACAATTTTCAAGACTACTTTCAAGTTCAACCATCCAACAACAGTGGGTCCACTCGGATATATTTTGATTTTTAATTTCATCATAGTATAAATTTTATTCAGATATATTTTGGTTTTTTTAAGTATAATTATTCGAACTTATTTTTGTGAACTTTTTCAAAACGCTGCGTTTTTCTTTACTTAACATGCGAATTAAAATACTAATTCAATTTCAGATGAAATTTGATACGGCACAAATTAAAATTAAACCCTCGAGCTCTCTTACGTTTTTTTAACCTTCAAATGTATCTTCACAAACTACAATCAAATTGTACTATTACTAAACCAAATAATAATTTATTAACATTTATATTTTTTTATATCTTTTTATTATTTCTGGTCGGAAAATACAAGTTTTGGTATTTTGCTAACTGGTCCATTTTAACATTTAAATTTGACATAGAATACAGGAAATTTGGACATAATCACCTCTAAGAGTCGAGATTCAAGACCCTAAAGCGACAAGACTAATTACACAAGAAGGTCCCCCACATCATATTTCTTTTCACTTTGATCCCTTTGACAAATTCAAGTTCAACGGCAACTAAAAAAAGGTAAAATAAGTTACAGAAAGGTTTTAGTAATTAAAGCTTTGATTATCACATGGGTCAGATAGTGGTGGAACCTATTTTTCTCCTTAAAAGTTTGGAGCTTTGACATGTAATTGTATTTGGTATTTATTTGTAAATCCCAATAATGTTAGAAATGTGTGTGAATGAGGACGAAAATAGTTTAAATCAAAAGATATTTTAGTAATATAAATGTGATTACAAGATATTATTTTTCAGAATCTTTCTTAGTTATTAACAATGTGTAAATATTATGCAAACGCAACTATTTGAATTCGAAATCTCTAAAGAAAATAACACTTTCTTATACCCTAGATTAGACAGGAAAATGCATAAATTATCTTGATGTGAAAAAAAAGAGAATTTCATTAACCATGAATGGTTCATTTTTTTTTTAAATTTAGATGGAGATTCATTGATGGTATTCTTATATCTCATAAGAAGGAAACTAAAAAGATGATGGTTGTGCATTAATAGTTAAGGGCACTTATTCCACATTGGGAAGAAAAATACCTTAATTTTAGTTTGATATAATAGTTATTTTAACATTGATTTTTTAGCACGATTTTGGACTGCTTTGTGACTAGGTTCAGCCAGTTATTAACAGAGGAATCACAAAATTAATTACGTGATTAAATTTTAAAATAAATCAATGTTTATGACTGATCATTTTTTTACAATTTTACCCATTCTTTTAGCCCATAAATATATATGTTTTCTCTCATTTTCTATCATCCAACGATATAAAAGTATTTCTCTCTTTTAAAAATCCTTTCAAAAGTTTATTCATTTTCCGGTGAGAATAACAATTCCATCATTATTCACTCCAATATTCGAGTGTACGTTTATTTGGAGCTACTGTTTTAACCTCGAGGGACGTACACCTACAGCAATAATTACACTTATCGAGGAAAAATCATTTCTAAAGTAGTGGTTTCATACCATGACACAGTTTATTCTTTACCATTTATTTTATTTGTTATTATTATTATCCAGTCAGTGCTAATAATTCCATTTTGTGTATACTTTACCAATAATTTAGAAAAGATTTATTAACTGAAAAATGTCGAACACCATGGCTAAATTTGTTCCTGACCTATCCAAGCTTGATGCTCTTGATGGGATAGATTATCAGAGGTGGTTCCAGAGGATAATAATTTTCTTCGAATAGCATGACATTGACTACGTGCTGATAAAGCTAGTACCCCAGCCCACCTCATTGTCCTTAGATATCGTCTTTAATGCTATCGGAGGTGACTCTACTCCTGCTCCTTCCAGTGAAGCCCTTCATTTTGTAGCTTATGTTGTTGTTCCTTCCCAAGAAACCTTGGAGAAGTACAAAACGGATAACAAGATTGTTCGTGGTTTTCTCTTAAGTAACATGTCGAAAAAACGTTTTTGACATGTTCTTAAGGAAAAAAGTGCTAAGGCGATATGAGACACACTGGAGAAGAAGTACGGAGCCAATGATGCTAGTATAAAGAAGTACGTGGTGGATGAGTGGCTCATGTTCTAAATGTCTGATGATAAGCCAATCATGGATCAAGTCCACGATTAAGAGAAGCTAATTTCTGACATCATAGTCGAAGACATGAAGATGTGTGAAGTCCTATAAGAAAATATCCTCATTGAGAAGTTGCCCAAGTCCTAGTCTGACTACCACGATTCCTCGAAGCACAAGAAGAACATGTTCACAATCGAAGAGCTAGTGGGTCATATGAAGATAAAGGAAGACAACTGAATTAACGATAAGTTGACTTTTTTTAATAATATTTCTTTTAAGGCTAATCTAGTTGAATCTAGGTCTGCCTTAGGGTCTAATTTTAATAATTCTAAAAGACGAGGTAGCCAAAAGCAAAATGTCAAAGGCCATAAAGTTGTCAACTTCAAGAAACCCGTGAAGGATAATACTCCACCAAAGCCCTTCAACTGCTATGTGTATAGAAAAGCCAAACACAAAGCCTACCAATGGCAACAACGATCAGACCACCAGAATGAGAAAAAAACACAACTGAACTTTGCTGAGAATACTGACAATGTCATAGTAGTGATGGTTTCTAAAGTCAACCTGGTGGAGAACAATGCTGAGTGGATCGAAGACACTGGAACTTCTAGGCATTTCTACGCCAAACGAGAACTATTCATCGAGTTTGAGGATATGAAGAATGGTGAAAAATGTACATGGGGAACTCTAGCAACTCTGAAGTGTTAGGTAAATGAAAGGTTTTACTTAAGCTAACTTCTAGCAAAACCTTAGCTTTAAATAATGTTATGTATGTACCTACATGCGTAGAGATCTGTTTAGTGGTGGGTTACTGAATAAGACAGACATTAAACTAGTTTTCGAATTAGATAAACTCATACTTTCCCAACATGGTCATTATGTAGGAAAATGTTATTTCAACAGAGGTTTATTTGTAATCAAAACCTAGTTTAATGAAAGTAATAAAACCATCACTTCTGTTTATATTGCTTAGACTCTTAATATATGGCATGCTAGATTAGGACATGTGAACATTCACTTTTAAAAAAACTCATTAGAATGAATTTACTTCCTAATCTAGATGATAATAACTTTAACAAATGTGAGATTTGCTAGTAGAAGCTAAGCATGTAATATCAAAAACTACGGGTTAGTGACCAAATTTTAAAAGTTCAGAATTTAGTGTCTAAAGTAGAAATTATTAAAAAGTTTAAGGATTTATATGGAATTTTTGGTGTACGATTAAATTGCAAAGAATGATGAATGGAAGGGCAAACTGGTCATTTGACTAAGAAATAAATTAAAAATAGAATAGGATAAGGATATATACACGTGAAGATGTTGGGAAAGGAAAACAAAGTTTTCCAGAGAATTCTCCATCTTTCTTTCTCCTCAGCCGTGAGCTACCATAACAAAGGTGAGTTTTTTGGTCAGTTGATTATTTGTTGATTTTAAGTATGGGTTTTGATCCTTAGGTGATACTTAAGCTTAAGGAAAGCTTAAGTTGTCTTAAAACCAAAAGATGAAGAAGTTATAAAAGATTCAAGAGAAGGGGTTTCTAAATGAATTTCTGAAAAAGAATTAATAAAGGAACTTTGAGATAGAATTTGACTTGTCATCAACTAAATTAAGAAGTATAAAGTGTTAGAATGTAAATTAGGACATGATAGAAAATTTGTAAAATTCTTGATTTCAATATATATGATGAAAATCAGAAGATAAAGATGGTTTATATGGATATAAGTTGATTTGAGTAAGGGTAGTTAAGTTTAATGGCATGATAAGGGCTTAAAATGGAAGGTTTAGAGTAGTATTGTTGAATTTGTGGGTGTAAAAAGGGAATTCTGGGCTATGGGTATCGGTACTGCTTCAACAGGTATCGATACCCTAAGCTTTAAATAGACAAAATTATGCATGAAGTATCGATACCTGGAGAGTGGTATCGATACCTGGGGTACCGATACCATAAGGAGGGTATCGATACCAAAGAATTTCGAATACAATTTGGGTATCGATACCCATGCTTGGTATCAATACCCTAAGCTAGGGAGGTACCGATACCCTATAGGGGTACCGATACCCTATGGGGGTACCGATACTACTCCAAATAGGAAATGAAATTATGCCTTTCTTCTAGCTTAAGAAATTAAAGATCGAATCATAATAATTGGAAATCTGATATATATATATAAATGTATGATTATGTAGATATCGAGCATAAGCAAGTTCCGGAACAATCGAATAATTAGAATCAAGTGAGGCTAAGGTGAGTGCTTAATAGAGTTATAGTTCAATGGAATTAAGACTTGTGATAAGTCTATTCCCTATATTAGTTTCCATAGTATAATAGTTATGAACATGCATACATGATGATTATTATAAATACATGCATAAATTATATATATGTTTATATGATATGATAAATGATATATGATTCATGTGATATGTGATTACAAGAGAAATGACATGAGTACATGAACATATGAAACATAAGAATAATGCCCATGTTATATGATAAGAGAGCTATAGGTATAGTTGGCATGCCAAGAGTCGAGGGTTACATAGGTCCTTCAGGACATATACAGAGGTCATTCGAGACAAATTCATAGGTTTTTCGGGATAAATTTCACATGCCCCTAGTAGGACCCCATACGAGCTGTGGTGATAGCATATGTGCACAACCTCAATGTACTCGCATACCTTAAGTTATCAGCCTATAAAAGGTATCAAAAGAGATTGTATTATTATATGTTATCATGTTATTAGTATTTACACTGAATCATATGTGGCATGATTGAATGATTAGATTACATGTTCATATTTATAGAAAATGCATTATTATTATATTTTATGTCTCACTAAGTCTATGACTTAGGGTGTAAGAGT